ACTGACGGTAATTTTGTTTTTCACCTCACCCACCTAGACCCTCCCCCCAAACCCCAGTTACAGAAATACTTCTGTTTGCCCGCATTTCCTTCTAAATCACGTCGATAGCAATTCAAATGCGCAGTTCTGATGAGAATTTATCAAAAGCTTATATTTGCTCGTCAAATTGTCTTTTGAATTCTCCAATGGGAATTTTCTCATCCCGAAAACAATAGTATTTAGCATAACAAATACTACAGTGACCTTGTTAACCCTACCGACACACATCTTGCTAATACAGACAAACCGATGTGTGCCATCAAAACCGCAAGCCGACATTTTCCAAAATCGGTCTAAAGGCAGCCAGACACTTCCTTGTAGGTTAGGGGCCTTTCATGTCTTATTTGTGTTGACATGAACCGATAAGTGAGCTTTTTGAGAACTTTTCCACTGGACCTCTATTACCATTGGATCCAACGGAAATCCGTGATTGACGCAGGAAGCAGAAGGTTTCGGTTAAAAACAGCAGCACAAAATTGATTGTCATTATCAATTACTGGCTGAACGGATGCGTTCTTGCATTATAGTCAATAAAATGTGCACTAATCTGATATCCGAATGACTGAAATATCTGCCATGTCAGCAGACACGATTTCATGCATTGAATGACAGAGGCGCATATGCGGTCAGTCAATGAGTTCAAGTTTGACATGGGTTTTTCTGGTCTGCTTCTGTCGACAAAAAGGTATATATGGCTGATATAGTTTAATAAACAAGTAGAAGCGATTGATGGAAAAAGGACGTTTTTACCCGAAACCATCGTCTGAGAGGGCATCACGTAGGGTAATTCATGCACATTGGACTGCAGTATTTACAGGAAGCCGTCACTATGTAAGTGTATAACCATGAAAATTAACGGCTGCCCCATCATCTAGGATGGTTGCCTTTCGGTACGGTACTTGTTTGCTAGCCGAAATTCGACGCGTAAATGCCCACGATGTCATCACCCGTGTTCGGTGTGGACGCAACAGATTGCTCGACCATCTGGTTCATCGACTCTGGTTTTTAAGATCGTCTGAATTCCCATTCCCTAAGTGGATAATTTCTCTGCCTAAGCTGAGTTTCAGAACCAAATATAGAAGGAAGGGGTCATTGCCTTTGTAAATGAACAGATGTCATCAAGAAGGAGACACGATTGCCTAATGTTTCGGATTTCTGCTCGAACCAATCATCAGAGACAATAGCAGATACGGGTGATTCATGGACAAGGGGCTTCAGTATATATAGGATGCTACCACATACCTATGAATATCCTCGGCTCCCCCCTTATCAGGGATCGGTGCACGTGGTGTGAGGACCGACATTCGCGTCGTTAATTGCTGCGATTTCATCACATGCGTTTAATGAAACAGTGAAGCATGAGTCAGGCGGCACGCTGCTTGCAGTTGTCGACTATTGCAAGACTTCGAGCCTCAAACTTGGATGCGCCTACTGAGTTGCATCTTGGGAACTGGCATCAGTCCTTCGCACCGCTGCCGCGTATTCGAGCATACTCGTCCAGAGCACTTCTCCAGATTCTACCGCAACCTCACCAGACCTGATAAACGACTCCAAGTGTCTCCTGCCATAGCAGTGGGTCCTTTGGCCTCACAAACTGGCGCCGCGTGGTTGTTTCTAGTTTGTGCACAAACCCAACGGAATTTTATGTGAACAGGCTTCGTTCAGTACGAGAACGCTTGACAAACTTAAGGGTTGGTTTGATTGTATCTTTTATCTCGTTTGCGTACCAGCCGTTTCTGCGGGTAACCATTCACTCTAATCACTCCTTAAAGGTTTTGTAATTCAGCAACCTTGTTTTCTGGTTAATTGCAGTCCGTCTGAACACGCCGATCTGCCGCGCCTGTTCAACTGCGTTTGCGGCTAATTGGGTGGCTGTAGTTGTAGCTCAGAACTTACGTCGTAGTAGTCGCTTTTCTGAACGCTTTACTTTTTAGGCCATCAGAGTATTTGCGGCAGACAAGAACATCGATGAAGGCCAGCTGGTTGTTTTTTCTCCTGCATGGTGAATTGTGTGTCCGGGAGATGGGGTTGAGATGCTCTTTGACTGTCGTCACCTGATCCTTTTCAATGACGGCGAAAGTTTCATCCATATACTGAGCCCAGTATCTTGGTCTATGGTGTCGGAAGACCAGCGAATCCAACGGCTGGAGGACCGTTGCGGCTATGAGTCCCGAACTCACAGAACCCACTGTAGATTGTGCCGTCAAAGGTAAAGTACGTCCTGATGCAGAACATGAAGAGTTGAAGGATTTGGGCATTTTCGAGGCGATTCACCGTCTCAGCGCATTTGTTCAGCAGGACTGATTCGATGGTCCCTACCGCCAGACCCTAGGGAATAAACGTAAAACAATGCTACCTCTCCGCTTAATATTCCATGCTGGGACTTTGCCTTGGCAAACTAATTGGGCACGCTTGTGAGGGAGAAAGGACGACCAACACTTCCAAGACAGTGAACCGAATTATCAAGTAGTTGTCACGCCAAGAACCAGCAAAGCAGATCATCAGGCGATCGTCGAATGACAAAGGAGTCCCAGCGATTAATGAGGGAACTATTAATCATGGAGCGCATGTCGTTGCATGGTGATTGAGTTATATAAATACTCTGTTTCTTGTGTTCTCATTAGCCTTGCCTGCGACTGTTTCTGGGGGTGAGTTCAAGTGGGGTTCCGAAGCATCAAGTCAGTAAACCTCTTGTCCCAGATTTCGTCTCTCCTTCTGAACTGCTTCTATCGACAAACTGTTCTCAACTCCAGGATCCATATGTTGAGTACTCATCAAGCTAACATCCAACCGGTGTGATTAAATTTTGGCGGTGAAAATTTGATTGCAGGCCGTCAAGTCATTATTGTAACAAGGGCACCCGTCCTCCATGTGGGCGTGTAGCAGTTAGTATTCATAGCCTTGCAGGATAGTAGCGACTTCATCCCACAAATACTGTACAGAAATTATATGTATGTGGGGCTCTATCTGACGCCAGGCTAGTAAAGCTCTTGTTTCAAAGATCGCGTCTTCCCTGCAGTTACTTCCAGTGACTCATATGTTCACTTGTATCGGCAGAGTTTGATCGCTTCTGCGAAACGGCTTCCAGCGATGTCTATTCGAGCGGCAAAAGGGTTCTAAGTTGGGGCAGAATTGATTTACTGAACATTATGATTTCCGCATGTTCCAGTGACTGAATTTTCGTTTTGTCGTGTACCGAGATAGTACATAGCTTAGACTACACATAGATTGCTTCTTCGGATATACACAACCATTTAAGTGGCAAAATTGCAATTTTACAAAATGGAAAACTATCCTTTGTTTGGCAAACGCTCATTGTTGGTTCATTCTGGAAGACCGGAGATAATTGCTCAACGTTGTGAATTCTGACTTGTCGTCCTAGTAGTCCTGGTATTTGAACTGATTACAGTACTGCAAAAGGGAGGCGTGATCGTTTGTTAATAAAGGGGATAGTAAGGCGGAATTTATAACACAGTTTCGGGAAAAAAATGATCGTGTTCCTATGCCAATGGAGTGACGCATGCATATTGTTAATTTGTAACTCATTCTGCGCGTACGTAGAGACAAACATTGACGTAAATCTAATCAGCGACTGAACAAACATCCACATTTACTCGTTCAAAGTGCAGTTCAGCGTGTCACAAACGACTTATGCGAGAGGGTTTGCTAAAAGCAGTATGCGTCCTCTTGGAACCTTCATTATTGTTTCATCCTTTTGACCATAAAAAATGTCCACAAGTGAAAGATACTAATATTTTGTCTAGAGGCCTGAAGGAAATATCTCTTTCAGTTTTCTTTGTGCAAAATATCTAACTAATCTGATATCCGAATGACTGAAATATTTGTCATGTTAGCAGACACCATTTCATGCAATGAATGAGAGAGGCACATATGCGGTTAGTCAATGAGTTCAAGTCTGACAGGTTTTCTTCGTCGAGTTTTGTCGGCAAAAAGGTATATATGAATATTATAGTTTTGTCGGAAGTAGTGTGGTCGACAAGACAAAGAGTCTCAATTATAAGTCTGAGGAATCGAAGTGTGTTCAGGAATTGGGTACACAAAAGCTCTGTGGGCAGTCGCCACGAGCGCGCTCTCCAGGCAAGTTGTTGTTTGTGTCCGCCTTCGAGGTGCTGAGGCCCAGCGCATGTGCGCGCCTTTCGTTGTCACCGCGTCCGCCAGGCAATCTGAGGTGGAACAGCGTTGATTGGCCTGGAGCACTCGCGAGGCTAATGACAAGCCCCGCGTGTCCCAGCAGCGTAACAACAAGGAATGTGAGGCGGACAGGAAGGCAGCATGGCAAACGCGGAGGGCATGGAGACGCGAAATGCCACAGTACTCAGAGGCTAGATCGAAGGTGGTGCTTAGCGACGCCGAAGGACTTGTTGATGTCTGAAAAACATGAGTAACCAAACGGTCAGGAAAATGACATGACGTCCACTATGACTGATATATACAGAGGACACAGGGGTAGAGTGAGTATGGCTCGCGGTCATAGTGTTGTTGGTTGGTGAAGGGGTATTTGCAGTTGGGGGTTGCGGACTTGGGAGCAGACGGTCGGGGAGGTGGAGCGGTGAGCGGGGACCACAGGGCTCATCCGGAGGGGTGTCCGGGACGGCAACTTTAAGACGGTCCATGTTCACGACGCCCTCGCGACTTCTGCAGTGGATGCGGACGTTCTTCGTCCCATGAGTGATAACTCGGAATGGGCCGTCGTAGGGTGATTCCAGAGGCCGGCGGACCCGATCACATCGGAGGTAGAAGTAAGAGCATGTCGCAAAGTCTTTGTCGAGGTAAGACTCGGAGTTAGATGGCCTGGGCGAAACCGGGGAAATTGTCCGCATGAATTGCCGGAGACGATGCAGGAGGTTGGTAGGATTCTTAAATGCAACTAGCGGGGTTGGCGAGATCATCTGACCGGGATGTCGGACGGCTGCACCGAACACGATTTCAGCAGCAAAACATTAAAGGTCCGATCTGAGGAAGGAGCAAATGCCCAGCAGGAAGAAGGGGAGGTGGTCCGTCCAGTTCTCCGGATCGTCTGCGGCGTGTAGGGAGGGCTTCAGCTGGCGGTGAAACCGCTCGACCATCCCATTGGCTGCCGGATGATAGACAGTAAAGCGGATGCGAGTACAGCCAAAAAGAAGAGAAGACACTGTAAGAGGTTGGATTCCAATTGGGCACCGGGGTCAGTCGTGATAGTGGAGGGAACACCGATAATGGCAACCCAACGACTGAGGAAAGCTTTAACGACCATTGTAGCAGCAACAGCAGGCAGGAGAATAGCTTCCGATCACCGGGTAAATCGATCCATGCAGGTAAGGAAATAGGAACAGCCATTGGAAAGAGGCAGGGGGCCTACAATGTCCAGGTGAACATGGCTGAATCTTGCACCAGAGCCGGGGAAGGTGCCAATGGGGGCCTTGTTGTGCCGCTGGATCTTATTCCGTTGACAGTGCTATACAAGCCCGTGTCCATGCCTTGAGGTCCTTGTGAATCCTAGGCCAATCGAAGCGGTCGGAAACCAGCTTGTCGATTGCTCGACTCCCAGGTTGAGAGAGGTTATGAAGGGAGGAGAAAACTTTGCGGTGGAGAGATGGTGGCACAAATGGATGATTGGAAGGGGTGGATACGTCGCATAAAATGGTGTCGTTCCCAGTTGTTAGTGGTAGTTCCTGAAGTTGGAGTCTGGAAACATCCTCATCACAGGGTGAATCGACACGGAGTTGTTCGACAGCCACATTAGCTAGATTGATCCCCGGTGAAAGTTGGTTATGTGCGATGGAGGGCCTGGACAGTGCGTCAGTCACCTCATTGCGTGACCCGTCGATGTGGCAGATGTCTGAGGTAAACTGTGAGATGTAGTCCAGTTGGCGAATTTTCCGGGGCTTGAGCTTATCAGACGTGGACTTGAGAGCTAACGAAATGGGCTTGTAAACCGTGAAGACAGTGAAGTTCCTGCCCTCATAAAGTGCCGGAAGTGTTTCACAGCGAGGAAGACAGCAAGGAGCTCCCGTCCAAATATGCTATAGCGCGTCTCGGCAGGTGATAACTTACTGGAGAAGATAGCTAAGGGTTGGGTGCTACCTGCAAGGTGCTGTTGGAGAACCGCGCCTACTGCAACATTAGAGGAGATGAGAGCTTCGGGAGAAAAATGGGTAAGGAGGCTGGCGTCGGCCAGGGCAGCCTTCACTTTATCAAAAGCAGTGAGGGGGTCTGCAGACAGCTCGAACGAACCTTTGGAAACCAAGAGGAGGCTCGTGGGCGGCAGCATGGTGCCGGCACAGTGAGGGAGGAAATGGCGGTAGAAAGTGACCATACCCAGAAGTCGCTGCAGCTGACGTTTGAAAGAGGGAGGAGGAAAATCACGGATGGACGTAACCTTCGAGCGAGGAGGATGGATGCCACGGAAGTCGACCAGATGATCGAGAAATTCGACGGGGAAAACACCGAAGACGCACTTAGACGGGTTGAAAACAACGCAGTTTTGTTGATAGTGGTCAAACAGCGTTGTCAAATGCTCCATGTGTTCTTAGGCGGTGGAGCTAGCTACCAGAAGGTCGTCGATATAGGCGCAGACAAATGGTAGGCCGCGAAGCACTCTGTCTACGAACCTCTGAAAGGTCTGTGAGACGTTGCGGAGTCAAGACGGCATGCGTAGGAACTCAAAGAGGCCAAAGGGGGTGATGACGGCCGTCTTCGAAAGATCCTCTAGGGCGATGGGAATTTGATGGAAAGCACGGACCAAATCGATCTTCGAAAATACAGACTTGCTGAATGGGACACCGGCAAAATCCTGAAGATGTGGGACAGGGTAGCTGTCCGGGACAGTAATGTTGTTCAGGTCCGTGTTATCACCGCAGTGGGGCCAGTCACCAGTGGCGACCTTTGGGATCATGTGGAGGGGTGAGGCCCATGGGCTTTCAGATTGACGGATGACGCCCATCTGAAGCATGTGTTCGAACTCCGCCTTGGCGGCAGCAAGACGTGCAGGCGCGAGACGGCAGAGTCGAGAAAACACGGGAGGGCCAGTGGTCCGAATATGGTGAACAACATCGTGTGGTGGAATAGAAGCGTTGAAGTTGGGACGAGTGAGGCCGGGGTATTTGGTGAGGAGTTGCCGAAATGGATTCTCGGCTTCAGGGTCCAAGACAGCGAGTTGACGAGAAACGTCGGAGGAAAAGATACCCCGGACATTGAGGTTGGTGGTTTGTCGTGTAGACGTGACAGACGGCAGTCGACCGGAAGATCGAAAGCGCCGAGGAAATCTGCACCGAGAATGGCACAGGGGATCTCAGCGACGACGAAGTCCCCAGGGGAAAAGACATCGAAGACCGATGTCCAGAGAGAGGGAGCAGGTGCCAAAGGTAGCGATTGGCGAGGTGTTTACGGCCTGTAGGAAAGGACTGCGATTGGGGCACCGACGATCAGCTGGTGTGGGTGGAATGACACTTAGCTGGGCACCAGTGTCAACCAAGAAACGTCTGCCACTCCGGGTGTCGTGGACGTAAATGTGCGACCATGGTTAGAGCTGTCGGGAAGATTGGCTGCAATGAACTTCCCGTTTGCTCTGCTTGAAGGTGAAGGAGCAGGGAGAGATGCAGTGACGGGTTTGAACCCCAAATGTGGTGTGGTACCAGCAGATGGCAGCTGCGTTTGAACGTGCTGAATGTGAAGACTGGACAAGCAGGGTGGACGGCTTCGGTTTTGCTCCGAGATGAGTGAGAGACTGACTACTTCTGGAGAGAAGTTATATCATCGGCGGGCTTGCTGAGTTCGATCTCAAACTGCGAAATGGGAGGCGCTGGAGGAATTGGGGAAGTTGACAGTGCTGAAATAAATGGTTTATAAAAACCGTGCATCTCCATAAGCCGATCGGCCATCTGAGTAAGTTGCGCGGCCGAAAAAACGCCGAAGACGGGTGTTAAAATATGCTACACTTCCGGTGGAAAATTGTCCATGATAAACGCCTGACTTTATCGTAGATTCGGAAGAAGGAAGACGGCTGTTCGCAAGGGAGTCACCAATTGTCAGAAGTAGTGTAGTCGACGAGACAAAGATTCCCAATCAAAAGTCCGGGAGGACGGAGTGAGTCGGACAACCTTTACTGTAGAGGAAGTGCGTACACAAAGGCTCTGTGGGCAGTCGCCACGAGCGCGCTCTCCAGGCCAGTTGTTGTCGGTGTCCGCCTTCGAGGTTCTGAGACCCAGGGCGTGTTTGCGCGTTTCGTTTTCTCCGCGTCCGCCAGCCGGGAGCACTCGCGAGGCTAGTGACAATCCACGCGCGTCTCAGCAGCGACTTGACAGGGAGTGTGAGGCGGACAGAAATGCAGCGTGACAGAGGAGGAGGGCAAGGAGACGCGAACTGAAACCAAGTCATTAAGGCCAATCAACCTGTTCGCCTTTGACACAGTCCCCAGGCGTGCGTGCGGGTCCTCGTAAAACTTGTCCCTTGCGGCGTCAGGGTTGGTCACCGGCGGAGCGTAGGCGCTGATGATGGTGACGAATTTCGTTTTGCGGAGAGGCAGACGGTGGCTCATCAGGCGATCGCTGATGCCATGTGGCAGACGAGGCAGTCGTCCCACGATGTCCTTCCGGATGTCGAAGGCGACGCCCGCGTCTCGTCGCTCTGCCCTAGGGCGACCGCTCCAGAGTAAGGTGTAGCCGGCACCCATCTCCTCCAGTTGACCTTGTTCGGAGAACCGGGTCTCGCGCGCCAGTTCTCAAGCTACTAGCGCTGTCGTCCGTTCCGGTCGGTCGCTCCACGGATTGTCTAAAAGGGAACGAACATTTCAGGCTGCCAGAGTGGGCGGGCTCACCCTGCCAGACTGACGAGTATGGCGGCGGGAAGGAGGGGGAGAAGAAGAAGAAGAAGAATACGATGTAGACGAGGAAGAAGAGCAGGAGGAGGAAGAGGGAGAACGTATTGTTGTTGTTGGTGTTGTTTCAATTTTGGTTGTTTCGACCGTGAGTTTAGCGTCTGCGACCACGGACAGCCAGCAGGTGACGTCGTTCCCCAGCACCTTCTCTAGCACCTCCCCTTCTGGGCGAGAAGTGTCACCATAAATAGGGCTGCCCAGTTGTACCGCCGCGGCCGAACTCCACTATGGTCCACGATTTTTATTGTAGTGGATTGAAGACTCTAATTAACAACAAATAGCATCATCAAAGTAAATACGGTGCGTGACCAATCTCGAGAAATGTTGGCCGAAATTCTGAAATTCGTTTTTGACTAGGAAGGATTACTGAAATAGGGTTCTAAATTGATTATCATGTGGCATAATCACGCGCCAGTATGTTGGCTTTTGCATGTACTTCTTTTCGACGTAAAAATGACTACTTAATTAGCATGCATTTCTCACATGGATTTTCGATGGTCTTATATATTCCAATGTTTTTCTTTTTTCCGTTTGGTTGAAAATCATATTGTCTTCACAGTTTATACCTGAAGAAATTTTAGACTTAGGTTTGGGAAGTTTTTCTTATTCCTAAATAGTTTTGAGCCAAATCAGCCGTCAACATTAGGGTTTGGCGATTTCAGTCTACATGGTGCATGTTTTCCCCCTAAGGAAAATCGTATATTCCTCTGTGTCTCCACGAAGATACCATATAGAGTTCAGAAAATTTTGCAATGTATGCGGACTGTGTTGCATATTTAATGAAGACCAAAAGCAAATGGACATGTGCGATGTTGTATGTGTGGACATCGGAGGATCCTAAAAATCTCATAATAAGCAACATTTTTAGAACCGAAACATAACCTTTCTTAGAATATAAGATGAAACGACATTGTGATTTTCTACCAAAAGAGTGAACGATGGCATGTTCTTGTGCATGTTTTTTACAAAATACTTCTGAATTTACAAGACCATCAAAAGTCAATGGAAAAAAATGCATACTACTTATGTAATCACCTTTTTACCTAGTGGGTTTCTGAATAGGGTCGAAAATAAGCACATTCAAAAGCCCAACGCCTAGCACATTCAAAATACTATAGGATTATGCCGCTTGATAATCAATTTTACAACACCGCTTAAGTAAACCTTCGTAATCGAAAACGTATTTCAGTATTTAACGTGAGTCTTTATTCAATCGCCCTATCGCGACATATTAAATCAGAACTGTACCTTTTCTTTCTCATATATTCCAGATCTTCTTTGAACGATATTATGACGACCTGACTTTCGGCATAAAAATCGCTCATCATCGAAGAATTCGGTTTTATTCTGAGCTGGCGAAAGAGCAGCAGTGCTGAGACTCCCCAGAATGCTGTTCATGCTGTCCTGGGAAATTATTTTTTAGGGAGAGGAGGAGGAACAAATAGAGGAAAGTATATCATCTTTTCATCTCCAAAAAAGCAGGTCGGCACTATCGTAGAACTGTGTTTCATAGAGCTACGCAAGTGACATCCATCTCAGGGGTATGTCTAATTCCAGAGAATGAGGGCTTTCAGATGCGAGGAATTTATTATTAGGGAAATAGCAAGGTACGACTACGGTTTGGCTTGGCTGTCTTGTCGCATTTTGAGTAGAATATGTGCAATTGTAAGCGTTTTCGTGTGCTGGTAATGGTTTAGATTGTTCCTAGATTGTCATACGGAAAGGAATTGCTTTCCCCTGACCAAACCTTCATCGGACTGGAGAGGTTGATTCGACGACAAAATCAGTGTCGCCTGGCTTCTTTTCTAGCTTCGATCGCAATTCTTGAAGCCTGCAATCGTCTGCATCTTGACGTAGGCTGTCTCAGTCGGCTTGTTCTCTTCGGTATGAGCTGATAAGTACTGTCGATGGACATAACCAACCCATAGTCTGATTTCGGTAATATTCGGTTGTTGATTGTTTTGAGCCATTGGGACCAAGCGCACTGCGGGATGCGAACCCAGTGATTCAACGCTGAAATGCGCACAAAAACACAGATTCCAGCAGTTGTCGATGACAAAATAACGTTTCTGGATGAAGACATGTCAGGCGTTTGTTCGATGTTGTTGTTAACGGGCATATAACCCACGCCTGTCTACGTTTGCGATGCGTTCTGAATCTTAGGATGATCACTGATGGAGAAGAGGCCCCCGCTTCGCAGTTATGATGCTGCTTGTTTGAACATATGTATAAATACTTCTTCATATGACTAGTTAGTGCATGACAACCCGGGGGCTACCTATAGCTGTGTTCTACTTCCATGACTTTTTTGTCTGCAATGTATCCTTTTCGCTGTTGCAGGTGACTGACAATGGTTTCTTTAGGGTTGAAAGGCAATCCTTACTCTGGCACTAATTGCTATGGATGCCGTAGTCAACTTGGTGCGGATATATATATAGGCAGAATGGTATTACCGACAAAGACAAGGGAGACTGAAATGGCCATTACTGGCTTATTAGCCGTCGTCAGCCAGCCATACCCCAGCCCGATGTGTGGAACACCCGAGCCTCGAACTCGCGACCTGTTGGATTAGTAGTCCACGCCTCTACCCACGGGGCCACGAGCCCGATGCCCTGTCGGTTTTCGATCGGAATATACAGTGGTAGGAGGAGCTCACTGATCGAGCAACGGGGCACCGACAGGGCAACCGGCTCGTGGCCCGGTGGGTAGAGGCGTGGACTTCTAAACCAGCAGGTCCCGAGTTCGAGGCTCGGGTGTTCCACACTTCGGGCTTGGGTATGGCTGGCTGACGACGGCTAATAAGCCAGAAATGGCCATTCCATTCTCCCTTGACTTTGTCGGTAATATCATTCTGCCTATATATCATGCGCCGCTGTGCGGCTGCTGGTTGGGCTCGAGAGAGAGCCCTTAAGGCACAACGGAACGAGTGATTGTCGTATGAACGATCGGTGAGCGCCCCCTACGACTATTTTTATATATAAATGAGGAGGACAGAAGGCTCGTCGGAAAAAAATCGAGTTGTATTCGTGAATTTTCCAGCTGGTGACACCAACCCATTGTCAGACGAAAGAAACAGATGAGAAAGTGAAATGGTCAGACCAAATTGGTTGGCGTGCCAGGGCAGCCACTAATAGGTAAGCAACTAATGAATGATAAGGGGATGGAGGCATAATTAAGCTAGGGTCTATGGTGGGGAAGGAAGAGGGAACTGTTGCGGTTCCAAGTGTTAGAAGGTAGAGAGGGGGGAGGACGGTTCAATGTGACTTCGGACGGTGGACTTAATGATCGTCGATCCGCCATGCGGGTAGGAGTCAGTGATCCAACGTAGAGGTGTTAGAGATTACGGTTGCGGTTCGCTGAGTCTGGGGTAGGGAGGGGGGTGGCGAAATAGTCCGATTATACGGGGTCCGGTATTGATTAGCGACTGTTGTTAGGTCGTGGGCGCAATTCAGTGGGCCGAGTACGCAGACCTTCGTAATGGGTGTCCAGGTCGACATGGCGATTTGTGCTATTTGTGTTAGAGTGCCGGGCTTCGAGGAATTCTCGGGCCTCTTTGGTGTTTGCCATGGCAACGATTTAAGTTCCTTCCCAATTGAAGCGATGGTCGCATTCAAGTGTGTGCGCAAATACGAGTGACAAAGGGTCACGTCGGCGGATGGCTAGTTTATGTTCGTTTATGCGTGTCCCAAGTCGTCCGCCTGTATGACCAACATAGTCGCAAGAGCAGTTAGCACACTGAAGTCGGTAGATGACATTGGTTTGCTGCTCTTTGGACAAAGGATCTTTCACACGGTACAGTGTTGCGCGCAGGGAGTACGCCGGCTTGTGGGCAATGAAGATACCAAACCGGTTTAGTTGTCGAGCGATCGCCTCGGAAATATCTGCATGTAGGGTGGAGAGTAGAATTTCCGTTGTTCAGGTCCCTCATTTGAACTTACGTCTTGTGGCTGCCTCTGTTTTCTGAGACAATTTTTCACAAAACTGACCGGGTATCCGTTGAGTCGGAATAACCGATACAGGAAAGCAAGTTCTTTCTTAAATAAATCATCGTTGCTGCAGTAACGATAAGCCCGGTGGAAAAGGGTTCGAACACAGCTCCATTTATGAGCCGCAGGATGGTTGATTTCGTAACTAAGAATGACGTCAGCACTGGAGTCTTTTCGATACACGCTCGTAGCAAGGCCGCCATCACTGAGCGTTTGGATGCTAACGTCTAGAAACGGGAGAATGCCTCCTGTCGCCTCTTCGCGAGTAAACTGGATAGCTGGGAAGACGCTAATAAGACTCAAATGAAGTTGTTCAATTTCGCAGGTCTTCATGATAACAACTGTATCATCTACATATCGGAGCCACATTTTCGGTTTAAAGGTTCGCATAACTTCCTCTCCCAGTTGTTGTAGTACTAGTTCAGCTAGTAGACCGGATATTGGCGATCCCATTGGTGTACCCCAAACCTGTTGATAAAACTTTTCATCGAATTAGCAGTAGTTATTAAGACAGAGTTTATTAACATCTTCCTCGCAGAAGCTACAGGAAGATGTTAATTAGCTGGCAGCGTGGTGCAGCAAGTGGTTTCTAGCGTTTAACTTATCCAAGTGTGTAGTCTTGCGACTAGAATCCGGACGGAGGCGCTTCCCAAAACATCAGTACACCATAAATGGGGTTCCGCTAAAAGAAGTGGACACGCTCAAAGACTTAGGTGTCTGGACATGCTCAAACTTGCTGCCCTCCCAGCACTGCAAAAGAGTCGTCCAAAAGGCAACCAGCATCGTGCACTGGATTAGGCGTGCCTTCAA